GAATTAAAAGGAATAAATTACACATAGAGAAATTTCAGCAATATTATCTTAGTGATACTTTATGCTCATGCTACTTTAAAAAACCCCTAAAATGTTCCTGCTAAAGATTTAAGAACATTTTCAATTAGCAAGAAAAAATAATGATACTCTTGAAAAGCATAAGTGGAATCTGGCAATATCTGTTTGAATGACTCTTTCCATTACTAATTAAAAATCTAGTTAAAATTCTAGTTTCTTAGCAGCCCAAGCAATTTTCACTGATCTTAGAGTATTCTCAAAACAATTTGTTTCACTTTAATGAAAACAGAAATTTGTCATGTAATGCTTTGGCACAGTGGGTGTTGGTTTTCTGAAATTGAACAAATATTGATAAGGGAGTTGGCAACTCCCTTTGGGTTCACTGAATTGGTGAATTCTTATCGTGTACTTGCCAAAACAGGGTAATGAGTACAAAAATGGGATCTTGAAAAATTATTTTTCTTGACAAAATATTAAAGAAAGGGTTTGAAAGTCACTATTTGCTGTCATTTGAGAGCATAGCCCATAAATTGAGAGCTGAAACATAACTTATAAGCTGTCTAGTTCAAATTCATTTAACAGATGAGAAAACTGAGGCACAGAGAGATTAAGCAACTTGTTCATAGTTATTTACACAGGCAAAGCAAGGTTTAAAACCCTGTGTTCACTCCAGCCTCAGAGATCATTCCACTGTACTTCAAAAAAAAAAAGAAGATCCTACATGAGATGGAAAAGCTGAGCAGCTAAAGAATGTGAATCCTAAGTGAAAGAATTCGTAAGTCTTTTCACTGTGGTCATTTCTAAGAGTTAATATTACTGTTAATATTACACTTCATGATTGCTATTTTTCATCTAAGGTCTGTGATTTGATCTCTCTCTCTCTCATACACATATACACATACATGCATACACACATTATATATGCACACATATCAGCCAGCCTGGGAAAAGACTGTATGACTGATACCTGATGGCCAGGCTAGCTCTCTTCAGGGAGGTTCATTACCAGCAAGTAAGTTACCAGGTGAAGAGTTTTTCCACCCCCAGTAAATGATGAATGCCACCTATTAAGCCAAAAGGAGTTCAGATCTACATTACTGGAGGGAATACCTAAAGTTAAAAAGCACTTATTGGGGCAGCTAGGTGGTGCAGTGGATAGAGCACCAGCCCTGGAGTCAGGAAGACCTGAGTTCAAATTTGACCTCAGACCAAACACTTGACACCCTTACTAGCTGTGTGACCCTGGGCAAGTCACTTAACCCCAACTGCCAAAATAAATAAAAAAAATCTTTTAAAATTTTTTTTAAAAAAGCACTTATTAAGTATGTACAGTATGTCTTGCACTGTGCTAAATGTGAAGGATACAGAGAAAGGCAAAAACATAGTTCCTATTATTAAGGAGCTAACAGTTCAATGGGGGAGACAACATACAAACAATTATGTACAAACAAGATGCACATATATTAGAGTATATACACATATAGTATATATACATATATACATGTATAAACATACAGATAGCTATATATATGTACCATGTACAAAGAAGATACAGATACATGTATTTGTACATATGTACATAAATACAAATGTATTTGTATATATACACATATATTTGTATGTATATATATTTGAATGTATGTGCATATACAAATATATATTTAACTTGTTTGCATTTGTCTCCTCTAATACAGATTTTTGCACAAATGTATACATAGATATACAAATATAAATAGACATATTTTGGGGTATATATATATATACATTTTATTTGTACATAGTTTTTGCTCATATATACAAATATAGATACATGTGTCCTCATATACACAAATATAGATACATGTGTATACCCACACATTTGTGTGTGTATTATATATATACACACACACACACAATATATGCATACACACACAATAAGCAACATACAAGTTATTTGTGTATGTATATATATGTATATGATTGCATGTTGTCTTGCCCATAGCCTGTGAGCTCCATGAGAGCAGACACCATTTTTTTCCTTTCTTTTGTATCTTTAGTGCTTAGCACAATTCCAGATATCTTAATAAGTGCTTAAATAATTGTTGACTTCAGTGGAGGTATTCCTTCCACTAATATAGATCTGAACTCCCCTAGTCTTAGTAGATGGTGGTAATCATTTCCTGTGACTGAAAACACTCATCACTTGACAACTAACTTGCTTGTAATCAAGCCCCCTGAAGTGAGCTAGCCTGGCCATCAGGTAAAATTACTGCATCATTTCCCAAGGTAGTCTGTACCTGAAGACTTTTTCATCTGCGCAGGACCTGTCAGAACTTGTGCTCTCTGCTCATAACCTTTGAGAACCCAGGGTCAGTCACCTCCACACCACAATGGGGCACTGGAGGAGCACTTTAGGGGAAGCATGGCTATTAACATGTTAAATTTTTTTTTAGTGTCAACAAGATATAAATCAATGTAACATTTGAATTAATAGATCTATCAGTAAAGGAGTATATTATCTTCTAGGAACAGTACTGAACAGAGGTGTGTCCCACTTTAAGAAACCTGGATGTGTAAAAATCCAAAATGAATGGGCAATTCCTGACATTCCAAAAGGATCGCTTGCTTTACAAAAGGCTTCTCCACAGGGTTTCTTTGACTAGGGAGCCCCTGTGGTGAATGTAATGCATCACTCAATTAAAAGAAAAAAAATATTTAAACCATTTCATAGGGAAATTCCTAATGCATAATGTGACACACCAGCAAATGATAAAGGAATGCAATGTCTTTAAGGAAGAAAAGAAGTCATAAAATACTAAAATTCAAAGCCTTAATGCAGGTCACACAAACTAAAAAATAATGTGAACAAAGATGGGGAAAAGGTAGTCCCTGAGGAAAGACAGAATTACTCTCTAAACTTCACTGCAAACAGTCCAGCTGTGCCCTGCTCCCCTCCCCTTGTAACTTAAAGCATCAATGACTAATTAATCACCTAACAATGACCAATTAATAATAATAATCTACACAATAGGAACACAAAATAACAAAGAGATAAAAAGACTGACAAACCAGAGTGCCAATAGAAATCACTCTGTTTTCTCTGAGATATTCCTGTCCAGGGTATTAAGTGGAAATCAGGGCAGGAATCCAAGAGCTTGTTCATTAGTCAATAGACCATGGGCATTTAGGAAGGTCAGAGTTATAGTGAGGATTTTTTTTCTTGGGTAAAATTTGGTGAGGAGCTCAGAATCTGGGAGTGATAACTTGAGAGTAGTCATGCCACATGGCAGGATGGGCCAGCAGAGGGCTATGAGGTGAGAAACAGAAATGGCACCATGGGAAGCAATAATGTTTCCCCACTCTTAGCTATCATCACCTTAGGACAAAGCTCCTTATGCTCTGGACTAATTATAATTCTAAGGAAAACAACATTCATCCTCCAAATATCTTGTACTGATTACATACTACGTGCAACATATTGCCAGTCTGTATTCTCACCCCAAATTATATAGGCTGTCAGTAAAAGATTATGACTAGATTGAAGATTGTATATTACTAACAACAGGTGGAAGGAAAATGTGCCAAATAGTATAAGTATAGAAATGCCTGTGCTCCCAAGAAAGCTGTACCTTTCCATCAACTAGTCAGCAAAATTAGATTTGGATCAAAGACTCTTCACCTAAGGGCAGAGAAAAGATGTTTGAACAGCACAACTCTTTGGTACATTTTGCCCAACCACTCCTACCTCCTATAAAAAAGGGAGGCAACATGTTAAGAGTGCAAAGAGCACTGAATGGTAGTATAGGGGTCTAGGTTCATTTTCCCTAGTTAAACGGCCAATCAATCAGCAAGAATATATTAATCAGATACAACAGGGCAGGCTCTATGCTAGTTGCTAGGGATACAAATAATGAAACAATACTTAGCTGGCCAAGTAACTTATCCTCTCTGAGTCTGTTTCCTCAGCTGCAAAATAGAAACAGAATAATGCAGTAGAGCAATGGGCTTGCAATGGGTAATGGAATAGAGCACTGGGCTTGGAATAAGGAATACTCACCTTTATGAGTTCAGATCTGGCCTTAGACACTTACTAACTATGTGACCCTAGGAAAATCTTTAGCCCTTATTTGCCTCAGTTTCCTCATATGCAAAATGAGCTGGAGAAGGGAGTGGCAAACCACTTTAGTACCTTTGCCAAGAAAACTCCAAATGGGGTCACAAAGAGTCAGACACAGCTGAAATGACTGAACAATAACCATGAAATGGAAAGTACACTGGCTCTGTAGTTAGAGGACACAACATGCTTACTACCTGTATGACCTTAGGCAGATCACTTAGCAGTTCCTTCCAGCTATGATCCCATAATCTTTACACTACCTATCTCACAGGGTTGTTGTGAGGAAAATATTTTACAAATCTTAAAATTCTGTGTGGATGGTGTTATCGTCATAATTATTTTAAAAATAATATCTTCTTATTTTAAAACCATATTCCCCTAATTCCTCTTCTCCTCCAATGTCTCTCCCCCTCCCCCACCCCAAGAGCTCTAAGGGAAAAAAACTCAAGTTGAACAGTTGCAACCAAAATGTTAATAACCTTTGTTCACATAATCATATCAAGATAAAGTCTGCTGTTGTGAAGAGCATAGCCACTTTGATTTTGTTTAATGCCTCTTTGAACAAGAACATAGAAATGAATTGTTAATAGCCCATGAAACATCTTAGGAACTCTGTGAACTTTCTTACCCTTAACATGTAGTTTGCCTGAAATATTGGAACTACTTCTCATAATTCCAATACTACATATGGCCCTTTAATTTTGCTCCAGGTTGCTAGAGGCTATTTATCTGGGCCCAGTTCAATCTTCCTCTCGTGAGTAAGCCCCACATTCTCATCCCATTAACCTGCAGTGCAGAAAGGAACCTAGAGAGGGTCGGGGTTGGGAAGAGGTGAAGCAATGGCAAGTGTCCTGTTTTGTCAGAATCCAGATTTTATTTTACTTACATGTGCTGGGAAGCATTTGGATAGAGATCTGAGAACTGTGGTGCTGAATCCTCAGGGCCATGGGGTGCAGCATGGCTGATAACCATCATTATGGGCCTATGGGGATACATTCTCTTAGACATTTTGAAGTAATTAATGCTCTCGTTAGTGATTAAGTCTGTGAAGTAGTCCTGAAACATACATTTGACACAAAACAAAAATTACAAAAAGGGTGATATCAAGCACATCACAATCTCCTCCTGACTTCCTCAGAAGAAATTCTGTTAATGAATTATAGTCTAAAGGAAGAAATACAAACAAGCCTCCTGGGGAAATAGCTGCTCTTCCAGAAAAGACACTTGCCACATGGTCAAATTATGTGGAAAATTGCTAGATAAGGACATCCATGTGTGAATGAGTACATAATACACCCTTACTTAGGCAACATACATAATACAAATACAATCATTTTTATCCCCTATGGAGACATACAATTTAGATATCAGAAAAGGAAAAAAAAGGTTGTATTTACTTAAGATAGTTATCAGAATTGGCAACACAAATGTTTCTAGCTATGAAACACCGGATACATATTTCATTCTTGGGTTTCGTTAATGTAATAATTTGACAAGTAATTAATTGCTCCAAGTGCAGGAAACCACCCATATCCACTACTAATTCACATTTACAGAACCTCCCCCCCTGCCCCCCACCAAAAAAAGAACTTTCCTTCCTTTTGAATTAATCTTACATGTCTGGGAGGAACACAATAATCACTATTGCAAAATGGCTGCCAAAATACAGGTATCCAGGGAAAACGCTGTTATATATATTTTTTTAATCAATGGATTTATATTGAAACATCTATGTGCATTTGAATGTGGCTGATTCCTGCTGATCCTGCCCTTTTAACTGCCCAGATAAAGCAGGACAGCTGCCAGGAGCAGAGCTGCAACTTGTTAATATAATGGCTCAACTCAAAACCAGGGTGGCTAATGAAATTCTACAAGGAAGAAAGAGGAAATGAAATCAAAAAGAGAAGGAAGAAAAGGTGGAAACTTAAATTAAACCACCTGCCTCCCTAGGTCAACATGACTGGCCTGGAGGACTCTAGTGTCAGCTTCATTGAGAAAGTGCCTGGGTAATGTTCACAATTTCAAACACTTCCAGGCATGACTAATCACATGTTGTGGGTTCAAGGTTCTGAACAGCTGCAAAAGCAGTGCCTGAGGGGGCAGCATCTGAGTCACATGTCAGCACTGGGACAGGCCAACCAGCTGTGCTCTTCCTCACTCTCTGTCATTCTCATTCCTTCCCTCACCATGGAACAGTCTTATTTGACACAGTAGTCTTTGACATTTAATCTGCTTCAATAATGAGAAAGACATGCTAATTTAATATTTTGGGGGAAATGGTGATTACCTTGTACTCTTCAGAACAACAGGGAGGTAAAGGTTAATAACTTGAGCAATGAACATGAAAAACACTCCCATGGATAATAAATACAAGGGTATAGATTAATGGACTTAGTTCCAGTACTCTCTGAGCCCTAATTGTGTCAGTAGTTAGATGTATCACCTTGGGAAGTCACTTCCCTCTCTCTGGGTCTCAGTTTCCTCAACTGTAAAATGAGGGGCTTGAACTAAGTAATCTCTAAGGTCCTTTCCAGCTCTAAAATTCTATAACTATAAAAAGAACTGAGCATTCAGTTGACATTGTTTCTGGAGGCTCAAGAAATTGTAAAAGCTACAATGTAACAAATTCATCTATATTCAAATAGGTCAATTCTAAAATATGATAAGTGGACCACACCTTCCCATTCTAGTGTATTTTTATTTTCTCTTGAGAGTTAGACTCATTTGGGAGATTCAGATTATTTTTGATATTTGGGGACACAACATAGTAAATTGGAATGGGTGGTGGATTTGATCAGAATATAGATACAAATCATTGCTCTGACACTGTGTAACTTTGGGCAAATTCCTTTTGCGTTCATTTATAAAAGGAGGAGGGGGGACCACGTGACCCACAAGGTCTCTTTTAGCTCTAAATGCTAGATATGGCAATATTTGACAAAAAACCCTCAACAACCTAGTGAGGAAGAAAATGGTCATGACTAGGAGGGGAAAGAGGCTTTAATGGCAAATGTGGTTGAATCCAATTACAATTTTGCAGATTAGGTTCAAATATTTTTTCCTTGATTTTCAAGTGTGATCATTTCACCCTTATATGGGGCAGCAAACTAGGAACCATCATTGCAAAATTGCAGGTCAGATCTTGCATTCAAATATCTGAGCTCAAACACATTTATTGTCACTGATGAGTCATATACTACATCCCTTTTTGGCACCTTGGAAATCCCAGAATTGGCTCGTAGTAACAAATCCTGTGGGATACTTGCAAAGCATAGGTCCTCCTATATGGCACAAGCCAATTGTGGTGAAGAATGAAAACAGGGAGAGTGGATTCCCAGTCCTTGATTGTTTTACATCTCTGTCCCCATTCTGCCACTAGCAAGTTAAAGGACCACAGGCAAGTTAGTTAACCTCTCTGAGCCTCAGTTCACTTATCTTTGAAATGGGGATAATAATACTTTAATTATCTAGGGCTTTAGGGAGGATCAAATGGGATAATGAATGCGATGGGTTTTGTTAACCTTAAAAGTGATCTGTCTGCAAAGTATTATTTTCTTTTATTAATCTCCTTTCCAATTCAGACTTCACAGACAAAATTCCTTGGCAATGAAGAACAGCTCAAGTAAGCTGCTGTTTATACAAAAAAAGTTCTCTACAGAATAAAATGAATAACCATGGAAAAATTAAATGTCAGTACTTTTCCTTATACTTTTATTAAAGATTTATTTCTCCTAATCATAAGGAGAAAAAAAAAAACTTGCAAAACTAGTGTTCCTTGGAGCTTTTCCCTACTTTTATTCCAAAATAATCTTAAAATTACTAAGTTTCACTATAAGGAAAAAAAAATGCAATATAGGTGGGGCAAACTCTTTGAAAATGCTTCTCTCTCTCCCGCCATTAGGAATGAGATAATTGATGTTGTGTCAAAGGGTCTGGAAATTACCTTGGCATAATCAAATCCATGCTTCTCTTTGATGCCATTGCGACAAACAGTGTAATTATAGAAACGAGAATTCTTGATTAATCCAAGCCACTCTCGCCACCCAGGAGGGATGTAGCTGCCATTATATTCATTGAGGTATTTTCCAAAGAAAGCTGTAGTGTAGGGGGATGGGGAGGAATGTTAATTTTCTCACATGGAATTACCAGTCACACAAAGGCAAAGTAATATGAAATTATCATTTTATTAAGAAATGGCAAGAAATTGCAGAGTTCATTTTAACATGACATAGCAAAGTAATATCACAATTGCAAAACTTTATTACTTTGAAAGACTGAGAATGCAACAGTCATTTTCCTATTGGAAAAATGAAGAAAGCACCCAGAGCTAGGCTTCATATTGGTATAATTAAGCTCATAGTTCCCCAACTGAGCTACTACTATTTTAAAGCAGCAAAATTTTACTAGAACTAATTTAAAAGGTGCCTAACTTAAGTTAAAGTAACACACAGCAATTACACTCTGAGAGAAACTTTGACTTCAGTGATATACTTCATGACAGACTTTAAAGTTTCACTCGTTTTCTCCTTCTCTACTCCATGATTCAACAAACATTTATTAAGCTCCTACCATGTATGAGGTACTGTGGGACGAATAAGACAGAGTGTCTTCCATTAATGTCAGTGTGGTATGTTTGTGTACATGGTGGGAGATTACGCATGTAAACAAATACTGAGGGGGGATATTAGGCATGTAAACAAAGACCTGTTCTGGAGGATGGAGAATGGCAACAGAAGATATCTACAAAAATGCTATTAGGGTTCAAAGGAGGGATAGATGACATATAGCTTGGGGGAGGGGATCAGGAAAAGGATTCATGAAAGAGAAGGCCTTTGAGATAATCTTGAAAGATGAGTATGATTTTTCATAAATGGAGATGAGGAGAGCAGGAAACAGTATGAACATGGATAAAGGGACAAGAGAGGAAGTAAACATAAGAAAGTAAGATAAATTGGTTAATAAAAGATAAGTGTGCACTGAGAGACAGCATCATGGAGAAGATAGACTCCCAGAGTCAAGAAGGAATGGGTTCAAGTCCTGCCACTGGCACACACTGGCCATGTGAACCTAGGAAAGTCATTTAATTTCTTAGTGGCAGTGAGGCAGCTAGGTTGTGCAATGGATAGAACACTAGGCCTAGAGTCAGGAAGACCTCAGTTCAAATTTGGCCTCAGATACTTACTAGCTGTGTGACCCTAGCCAAGTCACATAACTTCTGTTTGCCTCAGTTTCTTTAACGGTAAAATGAGAATAAGAATGGCATCTAACTTGCAGCGTTGTTGTGAGGATTAAATGAGATAATATTTGTAAAATGCTTAGCATAGTAGGCATTTTATAAATGCTTATTTCCTTCTTTCCTCCCCTCTTCCCTTACTGTTCTAGGCAACTCTTTATGTGCTTGAGGTGTGGGCCTCCAATGGTAGAGGGAGTATTCTTATCAGTAAATGTTAGATTGAAAATCATACTTTTATTAAAAAAAATCAACATAGCATTCAATACACCAAGGATGTGGTACTAGTCCGCTAACCTAGTTTGAGTGGGACAGTCCATAATCACAACCCTTCAATGTCAGAAGACATAGGCCCTTCAGGGGATACAGTCTTTTATCCACACAGTATCATGAGATACCAAGCAACCAGGGGTCAGAGGTAGAAGCGGTGGGGTCTGGGTTTCAGAAAAATGAGATGTCAATTTGATGTCAATAGGATTTATGGGGCAAACAGAAAACAATTACCAATGTCAGACAAATTTTGAAGAAATCTGTTCTCTAAAAAGGTTTGTGCTCATACAAAGAGGTCATTTATTCTACAAGCATTTATTTAGCCTGGTATTACATACCAGGCACTATAATAATAATAATAATAATAAAAATATGTAATAATATATGTGACATATAATATACAATAACTTATTATATATGTAGTATATCATAATAAATATAGGTAACACATATACAAAAATTAAATAGTCCCTGTCCTCAAAAAGCTTACATTTTAATGTGAGGAGGGTGAGGGAAGAAAACAACACATGCTCAGAAAATTAATACAAAATATTTGGTGTTGGGAAAGGGCATTAAAAATTAGAGAAGTTTCTTATAGAAAGTGAAATTTGGTTTAAGTTTTGAAGGAAGCTACAGATTCTGGTGGGAGTATATACCAGATATGGAGGGCAGTCTGTGTAAGAGCACAGAGACAGAAAAGAAAACTCAGTGTAGAAGGAATAACAAATAGGCCTGTTTGTCTGGAATAGAGTGCATAAAGGGTAGTAATGTACAATAAGCTGGGAGAGACTGGAGCCAGATTGTATAGGGCTTTCAAAGTCACACACAAGGGTTGGTATTTTACCCTGGAAGCAATAGGAAGCCACTGGGGCTTCTTGAGAAGAGTTAGGGGGTTAGAATTGCATTTTTGGAATATCAGCTTGACAGTTGTGTGGAAGATGGTTTAGAGAGGAGAGACACTGGAATGAGGAGACTGATTATGGAGTTACTACAATAGTTCAGATGAGAGATTGTGAGGCCATGAATTTCAGTGGTGACTGTGTGATGGAAAGGGATAGATGTGAGATATTATGGAGGTAAAATTCACAAGACTTGGTGACTGATTGAATATGATGGATGAATGAGAAGGAAGAGGCAAGATAGACTCCTGAGTTTTGAAGGTGGGTGACTGGGAGGATGGTAGTCCCCTTAACAGAATTAAATGAGCTGCAAAGATGGAATTGCTTTGAGGGAAAGATGGGTTCTTCCATGGACATGTTGAGATTTGGTGAGGTGGGACTGAAATTCAGGAAAGAGATCAGCGCTTTATAAATAGATATGGCAGTGGTCTTTGTGGAGACAATAGTAAAGCCAATGAGTGTATAAAAAATACCTAAGAGAAAGAGAATAGGTGTAGAAGATAAGTGGGTCCAAGACAGAGCCCTGAAGTACAGCCATGAATAGGAAGCAGGGGTCAAATGCTGCAGAAGGGCCAAAAGGATGAAGGTGTTCAAAGATACAATTTGATTCACTCAAAAAAGTGAGCATACTGATGTTCTTTCTAGATTTGGTGCATTGTGCCAGCTGCCCGCCTTGTTCTAAGTAAGTTTCAGCTGTGGACAGCTCCCAGCTTTTGCTAGGTCCTCTGCATGGAAAACATCCGTGTCTGAGAAGTGGAATATTAATTTGGCAATCACCTCCACCTTCCAGAATCCCAAGTTTGCAAGGCTTTTCCTGATCTCCCCAGTTAAGTCGTTAACAGTGTCTTCCTTAGGAAATTACTTTGTGTAGGTTTGTGTATACTTTGTATTTACTTACTTAACACACTGTATTCTCTGAATAGAATATAATCTGTTTCATTTTCTCCCCACTGTAGCACAATGCCTAGTGCAGAGTGGAGGCTTAATAAATGTTTTTCAAATTAATCCATGAATTCACTTAATAAATATTTGTTAAATTGTTGGTTGAATTTGACAATCTTGATGAATCTTGGTGGTCTGGTTAAGTATTCTGGTTAATAGACGGTTGCTACAAATAAAATTTATAGACGGGATGTGATCTGGGATCTGTATGATGCAAGTTCTCATACTGAAGAAATTACACTTTTTTGATGTTGTGAATGATTAATCTAATTTACCATAATCCAGATTTCCATGTATTGCTGGCATCAAATCTTGACTGTGATTTTAAGATAAATAGTGTCAAATGAGGGTGATGAAAAAAGGGTAAATAAAACGCTGGATGCATATAATTGTATCCTCACAATAAGACAGGCTCTTGAATCAGATATTGTTCAGTACTTAATTCCCAAATTGCTGAAGGTGACCTTTTATATAAAGGACAGAGTAGCTCTCCCCATCTTCCTGCCCAGCCCCAATACACATGCACTTTATTTCACAAGGAGCACAAGGAGCAAAAGATATTTTTACATTTCATACCAAATGCAGTTTAACTCTGAGACACAAGCAGAAATTTCAGGCCATGTGCAGAAGCAGCTATCAAAGACCTATCTTGTTATATCATCTAAGCTACAGTGCCAGCCACACTAAAAGGGACTTCAGGACAATTCTCTGAGGTGCTTTCTATTCTGCTTTATACCAATTCACAGAAACATATCTCCCAGGGAAGACAGTTCATTCTCTTAAAATGATGATTTAACCATCTAACAGATCTTAATGCAAGGAGATTCTTTTACATTTGGCTGACATTTTCCTTTGGTTAATTCCATCCCATTGCTCTTAGCTATATTCTTGATGTAGCAATGTAAAATAATTCCTCTCCTTCCTTACTGTTTTTTTCCCATTTAGATGCCATAGGCTTTTAAACCAACTCTACTTTAATACCTTAATTATAAAAACCTAGTCTTTTTAGCCCATCACATACAAATTATTCCTTAAGCCCCTTAGTGATCTTTGAACTTTGCCTCTGAACTTCTAGTTTTTCTACATATTTCTATTAATGAAGTATTTTAAAATAATGAACTGTATATTCTGGATATGGTCTCACCAAACATCTATGGAGAGAGACTTTTGCCTCTACATATTACACTGTACCACTATATTTTCAGCCTAAAATCATGTTGGCTTTCTTGAAATAGGACACTGTGGGCTAATTTTTAATAACTACTTGGTACTTTTTAACATTACAGTTTCCTTGGCTGATCACTGAAATTGATTATCTGCATTTCTAGTTATTTTTCTACAGAATGCATTGGGTGTGTAAATTTTCCTTGAGGATGAATTTCATTTTCCCATCTATACTACCAAGATTTCTAGGTATATTTTAGAAATGGTCTACTTTACTTGGTATTAGAAATTCACCCTAATTTATTACCTGAAAATTTCATTAGTATGTTATTTTTTCACCCTTCCATATCATCTTTTCTTCTGGTATGTTATTACATGATTCCCTTAAAAAAGAGGATGCAAGATGATAGATGGGGTGGTAGAGATGCAGTGGAGAGGTGATTATATTATTATTGTGCTGGAACAGTTGTTCATGAATCAGCTGTGGGACTAGTTAAGTCACTTGACCTCAAGGAATCTCTGGTTCTTCACATGTTAAATGATGGGTTTGGAATAGATTGGTTCTAAGATGCCTTAGATCTTTAATTGTACTTATCCCTGCTGGTGGCAGGGCCAGGATTGGAACTCAGGTATCTTCACTTCACTTACTAAGATATAGAATTCTCTTGTAAAAAAGTACCCCAAACTCTTCTGTCATAAAGTTAGACATATTAATATTTTCCTTCTATTGAAAAATCTAAGCATTTTTAAAGTTTTGTTATCCAAGAACAATTTGTAAACATTCATGGTATTACTAAACCAACCACAAATCTTGGCTCAATAAATCATCTTATACAGTGGCAGATAGGACATTGTATTAATATAATTAATTTTCTCTAATTCCTCTGGATATTTCCCAAGTGAGCCTAGTTAATAATTTGCTTCTTGGTCTTTGTTCTTATACAATTTTAATGTTTCATTATGCCCTCTGCTAGATGTATATTTGTATGTGTTATACTTCTCTATTAATTTGGGCAATATATTTAATTTTAACTCCAATTTGCAAAATAATACATTCATTTTTTTAAAAAATAAATCTGCTCAACAATGACTTTTTCTAAACTCAGGTTTCTCAGGAATAAATAACAATTGCTGGTTCAATACATGGTCACTAAATCTTTTAATTCCTAAGATGCTCATCACTCAGATCTGCTGATTTGTGTATTTTCAAATGGGTTTCTGATAGATAAATATTATTTCCTCAGATAGTTCACTATTTCCTAATTGTTTTTTTTCAGTAAAGATGGATTTTGACAAAGTGGATCTAAATTGCTGCCATTTTAGAGTCTTTAAATTTTAATTCCACTTTTATTTATTAATGTAATTTTCCCCAACTGCATATTATACCTTTATTTCTTTATTGCTGCTTTTCCAACTATTTGGAAAACTATTCTCCTTAAAGGATATCTTTTATTTTAGAAGAAAGATCCCACTTTTTTGTTGTCTGGCATAGCATCATGATCACTCTGGGGACCTTTATTGCTTACCTCATCTAAACAGAGTACCTTAAAGTGGGACCAAAGGCATGAATCTCCAGAAGGCACTATCAGTCAGAGAAGGCTGTTTCGGGTCTACCCAAGGATAGGCTTGTCTGAATCCAAATCTGTGTGTTTGGGCAAGAGCACTAAATTCTTCTAATGATCGTTTGACAAAATCCAGTCATTCAAACTACAGTTTGATTCAATCCCTTGTTCATTTGCTAAACATTTACTTTTCAAGCAGCACCTCCTATGTTCAAGACAACAGAATTATAAAGATGAAAAATAACACAATCTGACCTCAAGGGTCTTGCAATCTACCTGGGGATGTATATGTGCACAAGGAAGTATAATACAGGGTAGAATGTATTAGGAGCCTCCTATCATCCCTAAGATCAGATATAAATCCCACTGTATGTTATTTAAAGCTCTTAACTATCTGGCTTATTCCTACTTTTCTGATATCCTTACACATTACTCCTCTTTCGACTCTCTACAATTTGTACATCCTAACTTGCTTGTTGATCCTCTCCCAAGATTCTCCATTTCCTGTGTCTTTCTTTGCCTTTGTACTGGCTGTCCTTCATGCCTGGAATGATCTCTCTGACTCTTTTAGAGAATTCCCAACTTCCTTCAAAACATACATCAAGTATATCTTCTAATAATAACATTTAAGTGGCCCTTTAAGGTTTACTAAGAACTTTATATATCTATCACATTTGTTCCTCACACTACCTCTGTAAGGTAGGTGCTATGATTATCCTCATTTTACAGATAATGCAACTGGGGCTAAGAGAGGTCAAATGACTTACCCAGGAATACTCAACCGTCTGAAGCAGGATTCCAACTCAAGTCTTCTTTAGTACAAGTCCAGTATTCTATACAACTGACCAAGCTGCATCTGCAGGATACCTTTCCACATTCCCTACAGCTATTAGTGCCTTCCCTCTCCAAACCAATTGTATTGATTTTGTAAATATTCTATGTATACTTATATAGGTATATGAGTGTGTATGTATATAGGTAATCTACCCCATTAGAATGTAAGCTCCTTGAGGGCAGGGGCAGTTTCACTTTTGTCTTCATATTTCCATTGCTTGGCACAGTGCCTGAGCACACAGAAGGAACTTAAAGAATACAATTGATTCATTAGTTGATTGTAGCAAAGGAGAGACTGACAAAGTGCTCCAGCAAAATTTGAGGAAGAACTCACTTTCAGTTGAGAGAAATTAGGAATGTTTATATATACACATACATATATATCTTTTAAAACTCTTTCCCTCCTCATCTTCACCTCCTGGCTTCCCTGGGTGTCTTCAAGTCTCAGTTAAAGTCCTACCTTCTGCAAAAAAATATTTCCCTGTCCTTTTAATCTTAATGTCTTTCCTTGAGGATTATCTCTAATCTATGCTGTATATAGTACATAGATAGTTGCTTGCATTTTTCTCCTCAGTTAGGTTTTGATGTTCTTGAGAACAGGGACTGTTTTTGCCTTTCTTTATAACCTCAGCACTCAGCACAGTGCCTGGAATGTAGTAGGTGCTTAATAAAAGCTTGTTGACTTGACTTAACAAACTATAAATTTAATATGCAACTTTTAAAAAAATAAATTTTACAAAGAAAACTTGCTAAGATAGTACCTGGGGCTAAGCTTTTAAAGACATCAATAGGTGGAAATAAAGGGCATGTGTTCTAGGCATAGGGGGGCAGCCTTACAATTTGCCCTAAATGAATTCTCAAAGATTCTCAAAGGAAGGATCCTATCTTATTTAATCTTCAAGTCAAAAGGCCCAAAGGCCCAAAGGCCCAAATTTTTTCAATCAAGTGTTAGTGAGATATGGATGGGAAGGGTCTACATAGATCAAAGACACTATCTGTCTCTGCATGTCTGAATGGGTAGAGGAGCGATGATGGGCATGCAGCTGAAGAAGAAAGCTGGCATAAAGTAACTTTTCAAAAGGATCAGCTGGCATGTGAAACATGAATCATCACTGGCTGCAAATATTTTCTTCACTTCTGAACTTCCCCTGCTCTATTACTATAATTAGAATGTTCTCAACTCACCACAACTACTCTAGTAAGTAAGATGCCATCTACCAGCTCAGGTCCCTTTCTGTTCATCTTCTTGACCCTTCTTATCTTGGGAATTTCATGTAAGTTGAGGTACAGATTTTCCCTAATGGATGCCAATATTTAAGCCTCATCTACCCTGATGGCATGTGTCACGTCTGGGCAAAAGCTGTTTCACAAATATTTCTGGTTTCAGATGCCTATGGTAGCCATAGGAGGATGGGGACTCAAACAATAGACAATGATTCTGGATTGCATGGGAAGGTATCAGAATCATCAGGGCCTTACCTGTGGGCTATGTCTATGCTACCAAAGGCCATATTATAAGCTTGTTACACAGTTAAAAGGTACTGATCTAACTGTATGCTTTCCATCAAGAGATATAAAACTGGGTGCCTAGATGCAGGGCTAGGTGGTTAAAGATCTGCTTTTGACTCTGTCATTGAGCAGGTCACCATTTTTGAAAGTTCCCCTTCAGCTATAAATGTGAAAAGAAAGCTTGCCGTCTACTAATTCCTCCGGGATGTTTGATGGATTTGCAAATTGCATTTGAGTCCTTGGATAAAAGGTGCCATAAATTTAAAATCACTAATATGAGCAAATATACTTAGGATAAGACTCTAGGTGTAACCTTCCCTCTCTCCTATTATGGAAATAATCACTTTATTAATGTTCTTGGGATTCATTTCCATTTTGAACATATATCTAATAATAACTGTCAATGACAACTCTAGCATCATGATAATCAACATCATTGCCCATAAATATAACCTATTAAGTGCTGACAGATTACATGGTCCAGGATCCCATGGGGAAAGATCCACAAAAGATACCTTCCTAGGATATTCTTTTACATTCATCTATCATTAAAGGGGAGAGTGCTATAAGAAGGGAGAGGATTGTATTATAATCGTCTTTAGATGATTCGATTTTATTCAATTCAACGATGTTTATTTTATGACCCGAATGCACCAGGCAACATACTAGGTTATAAGAATATAAAGAAAAACTTAAATGGTTCCATCCTTTAAGAAGCTTACATTCTGGGGGTAGGGAGATACAACACATACACGTGAGTAAATATAAGCTATGGACAAAATAATGTCATTTCACGAGGCAGAGAGAGTTAACAGCTGAAGGGATCAGGAAAACAGAAAATAGCTAATGGAAAATTAAACAATTTCCATTACACACTGAGTCCCAAAGGCCACTGTCACTTACCTGTTCTGTATCCGGTGTTGTTGAGATACACAGCAAATGTGCGTGGTTCATGCATTGCCTGCCAGGAAGGGGAGGAACAGTTCTCATTGTTGGTGTACACATTGTGGTTGTGGACATACTTCCCTGTGAGCATAGAGGACCGAGAGGGGCAGCACATAGGGGTGGTAACAAAGGCATTAATAAAAGTGGCTCCCCCACGCTCCATGATTTTTCTTGTTTTATTCATCACTTGCAAAGATCCTGAAAGACATAAAAGAATCCAGGGTTGGTGAGCACAGACATCTTAAAACCCATTTGTGGGTTAATGGTTCTTTCCCCTGATTCATTAATTCTTTCCCTGGTTTGAATGAGTCTATAATTTGATCAGCCTTTATTTCTAGCACAAAATTAAACATTTCATATCCTGCCATCTGAGGTATTTTGCACAGTAATAAGCACATTTCAGCCTTTCTCCTCCTTAGTCACAAAGGAAAAATGCAGGGTAATCTGATAATTAAAGCTAGAATTTTTGATATGGAGCAGATTCGAAAGCCAGCAGTCCTTTGAAGATTACTTTCCAACAATAGAATAGCCAAGCACCAAAGAGCCCCTCTCCCAAAACACAAGCAAAATATTGTTGTTCTCAGGATTACAAGTCATAGGCCATATTAGCTTTTTGAGAAAATAAAAATGTTTTCTTTAATTAAAAAAATGAATCCTCACACCAAAATCACCTCCACTGAAATGACAAAACTGTTTTTTAATTAAACTGGAGCTTTTCTCCAAGTTATATAGCAGAGAAGCTACCAATTTAGGTTTTAACAAGTCCAGATGTGGTGAAAGAAAGTCCTTGGGTGAAAGAAAATGATTCTGCTATATGCAGAGCATCCCAATTGGAGAATTGAGAGAGAAATTTTAAAAAAAAGGTACATTTTATGTATTGGGGGGTGGAGAGAGGCAGTAAAGGAGAAAAGCAGGGAGCTGTATCTTTACTACTCTGCCCAGCCAAACACTATACTGACCCTCAGCCAAATGCTGCAGAAACGCCCAGGCTATATGTCAATAGTCTTTTCAGAATGTGTCAAGAAATGACATGGAGAACTGATGCCAAGGGAGTGGCACTTGAATCTTGAAGCCTCAGATTTCTAACAGGTCCCACTCCTCTCCAACAATGGGAGAAGAAGCCTATGCAGCTTTTTTTTGACAATTAGGAACTTTTTATGCAAAACATTGCCAATTCAAGAAATATGAAAGACTACCCACTGAAAAATCAGAAGGCAAAAGTATCAATGTTAATCAATCAATAATGTAAGTCAACTTTACACATCTATCTATCTATCTATCTATCTATCTATCTATCTATCTATCTATCTA